AGAGAAAGATCACGGCTCCTTGTGGTGGTGTATATCTGTAATCCCAGCATTTAGGAGGCTGAGACAGGAGGATCTCTGCATATTTGAGACCAGCCTGGGCTACAAAATGAGTTCAAGGCCAGCCTGAACTACAAAGAATGTGTCTCAAAAAAAAGCAGAGATCATGAAATTCTGAGGTTTTCTTGCAGAAGAGAGACTTGTTTCATAATCCAGTCCATTTGTAATATTATTGCTCTTTCTCAAATTAAAAGAAATAAGAACATCCTAGAACTCTTTTTAAAATCACAAAAATTCACAGCTTTCTGTTTCTTTAGCTGAATGAAATTGAAGTTCCGCTCCACTTTTCTCTGATTGTCCCCCTAAACAAGGTTAATGTAGATAAGCTCTTCCATGGCCTCTGGTTCAAAACTGTCCTAGGATATGCAGCAAGATGGACAGAGAATAAAATTTTCACTCGTGTGCACAGAAGTGAATTCATTATGCCTAAAAATGATTTTTAAAAAATTAAAAATGTCAAGCCAGTCATGATAGAGTTGATGTTTTGGAAATTAGTGGCTTTAGACATTTTGGTTCCAATAATTTCACATTTCTAATGGGAAATTGTCTCTACACCCTTTCAGATGTCTTTAAAATCACATTTGTGCAAATTCTCTGCTGGAAAAATGCAAATTTAAGAGTTAAGAGTTTCAGTCACCTTTAGTGACTCATTTTCTACCAGGTGATGTTCTCTGTACAACTTAAGACCCTTAAGAAATGTGCCCTAACTTTTAGTTCTTAGTTCTGTGTTTCCCTCTTCCACATTTCGTCAAACTAAACATTTAATACTGAATCTGAGGAGGCTTTCTCTTTGCCGTAATTTAGGGGCTTTTTGTTTCTGTCGGTTTGGTTGGGTTTTGTTATTGTTGTTATTTGAGACAAGGTCTTTCTTCGTAGTGCAGGCTGGCCTTGAACTCACTATGTAGCCCAGACTGACCTTAAACTGGTGGCGATCCTCCTGCGTCAGCCTCCAGAATACTGGAATTACAGGCGTATGCCACCATGCCCAGCCCATACTTTAGTTTTCAATACCTAAAAGAATGTCCCCGCCTCCGCTCTCTGTGTTTTTCAAAGTCAGCTGGGGCAACATTTTCTAACCACAGAGGATACATTGTTGCCCCTTGTAGCCAGCTCCTATACGGAAGACTGCGAGCTCTGGGAGGGGAGGATCCTGGTCTAATTAGCGGGTCTAGCCCTGCTACATCCTCACAAAACTCCTTGCCCAGGTGGAAACGGAGGCATGGATGAAGTAATCCATATTGTCTCTTCATTCCTTGTGGATCGGAAAGTGTTTCGGGGCAGGGTTGGTAGATTCAACAAATCAAACTACAGTTCGCCCAGTTATATTTGACTGTCACATAAACAAATACTTATTTTACTGTATATCCCATAAAATACTCGGGACATACTAACAATTATGCATTGTTTATTCGAAATTCAAATGTAACTGGGAGTCCTGTATTTTAGTTGGCACCCCTACGTGGTGGGTAGGGGCTCCCCAAGGACCTGGCTCCGTCCCCGCGGCGCTCAACACCCGAGTGCTGGCTCGAGCGAAACGTGAACGAGCCTCGCAGCTTCCGCAGTTGTTCGCAGCGGCCGGAGGCACTCGACCCGGAAAGGCAGACACCCCCGTTGGAGGCCGTCACCGGAGACTGGACCCAGGGTCCGCACGCTGTGGGGCAGCCTCACCTCGCCGGCTGCCAGGACCCGGGACAGGCTCTCTCACCCCTCTGGCCATCTGCCCTTCCCCTCATCTCGTGACCGCTCTTCTTGGCAGGGACCGCGCGGCTCTTCCATCGCTCCCATTGGTAGGCCACCTCATCAATCACCGTTGGCACCGCCCCGAAGGTCAAGCTTTCCAGACTACGTGGCTCCCGCGGACCGCGCGTAGCTTACGATTGGTTGAGGAGGCGAGGTGACAAGGGCGGCGCGACGAAGGGGCCGGCTCTGGGAGCCAGAACCAGCCGGAACGCGTCACCCGTTCCCGCTGTGCTGGTCGTTCGGGTCCGGACGGTGCCCTCGGTGTCGCCCTGCGGTGCTCCAGCCTCCGCGGCACCATGGCAGCGCTTGTCGTGCTGCTGTCCTTGTTGGTGGCGGGTGAGAAGCGAGGGCGGGCAGGGGCCGCCCCGGGGGGCCCTGCGTGGCGGGGC